ATAAGTCACTGTATGTTGCTTGCTATGATTTGACTGTTTGTAATTTTATTGAGTTTTACAGCAATGTTAATGTAATGACCATTTGGGCTAGTCCCAAGTAAAATAAAGTTTTAGACAGTTCTACTTCACCCTCAATTTGGAGTGCCGCCTCTTATTGGGGGAAATCTGCTACAAGGGATTGCTATGCTCTGCATACTCTCTTGCTAAAATCACTACTAAGCTCTTGTAAGAGCTTGTTCCTGTCCTGCTCTTTAAAAGAGTCCATGGTGGTTATGGTGTCAGTTGGAGTGCATGGAGAATCAGGAAGCGCTAGGAGCATCCTTCAACGGAGGTACCCAGTCGGGGTGCCCGTCGATCCGTTACAATATATAATGCAATATACTATGCAATTAAATCTGGCCTTTGAGATGGGGAGCGCTATACCTCTCTTAATTGATCCGGAACGTATGGAGATTTGCTTTTTATTGGCCATACCATATGTAACTCTCAAAGAAATTTTTCAAATGAAAACAATGTATTATGTTAATAATGATATTATGGTTGATTGTACTAAGTGTAAAGTTTAAAACTTTTACAGGTACAAATATATACAAAAATGTTCATTCCACGCACGGGCCTATGTTAGAAATGATGTGATTGCACAATATGTCTGGTAACTTCTATAGTGCCTATTCATAAGCTAAATTAATTTTGGCTATGAAATGCACTAAAGGGGGTGCCCGTCGGTCCGTTACAATATATATTTTTAATTGGGGTAGCCCCCAAAATATTGGGACATATAAAAAAAGAAAACTGTTCCGCAGAGCGACTGACCCATGCGTGCTGCATCTGAAACTCCACTATCGCCTGCTGCTGCTCGTACAGTCTCATGAGCGGGGAAGAGGGAAAAGAGGAAAAGAGGGGAAAGAGGGAAAGAGGGGAAAGAGGGAAAAGAGGGAAAAGAGGGAAAAGAGGGAAAGAGGAAAAGAGGAAAGAGGAAAAGAGGGAAAAGAGGGAAAAGAGGGAAAAGAGGGAAAAGAGGGAAAAGAGGGAGAGGGAAAAGAGGGAAAAGAGGGAAAAGAGGGAAAAGAGGGAAAAGAGGGAAAAGAGGGAAAAGAGGGAAAAGAGGGAAAAGAGGGAAAAGAGGGAAAAGAGGGAAAAGAGGGAAAAGAGGGAAAAGAGGGAAAAGAGGGAAAAGAGGGAAAAGAGGGAAAAGAGGGAAAAGAGGGAAAAGAGGGAAAAGAGGGAAGAGAGGGAAAAGAGGGAAAAGAGGGAAAAGAGGGAAAAGAGGGAAAAGAGGGAAAAGAGGGAAAAGAGGGAAAAGAGGGAAAAGAGGGAAAAGAGGGAAAAGAGGGAAAAGAGGGAAAAGAGGGAAAAGAGGGAAAAGAGGGAAAAGAGGGAAAAGAGGGGAAAGAGGGAATATTATGATATGTAATGTTATAATTACTGTCTTAAGACAGTTTAATCCCTGCCTCTCTTAACAGAGTGAGAACATGTCTAATCTCTATGATATGCTTATCAAAGGAAGTGCTTTTCAGCAAGACATCGTCGACATATGATAACGTCCCTCTCTCAAGTGCGTGAGGCATAGCTTTATGCATGAACACAGCGAATTCATGAAAAGAGTTTATGTAACCGAAGGGCATGTGGGTCCAGGTATACTGCTGCTTTCCAAATGTGAAGGCCAATTTGTATTGGTCTTCATTATGGACTGGTACAGTCCAATATCCCTGCGCACAGTCAATGGCAGTGAATATTTTGGATCCCTGCATTTGTACCAAACATTGGTCTATGTATAGCGTTGGCCAACCAGACATTTAGACGCGTTTATTTAGCTGTCATAAATCAGCGCATAAACGCCATTGTCCATTAGGTTTCAGAATCCCCAAGATCGGATTAATATATGAACTGTGCACCGGACGTATAATGCCCCTTTCCTTTAAGTTCAGAATGATGTCTTGTAGACCATCATATGACACTAATGGGAGTCTATATTGTTTGATAAATACAGGTGGTAAATTTGGATCAGTTTGTATTCTGGCTACGTGGAGGTTAGTTAACCCACAGTCGTAGGAATCTTTGGCAAAAATATCTTGGAATTCCATTAGGATATCCTTTAGCTGATGCCGCTCAGCATCGTTGGAGCAACCGTGAGCTAAAGATATTTGGTTTTCTAGTCTTTCCTGAAATCCTGGAAAGATTTCAGTCTGGCCTATCTCATAAGCGTCTTCAAGCCTAGAAGTTAGGTCAGTTCGGTGTTGACTTACCTTTTTGTCGTCGTGATACTCTTGTGATTCCTGCTCACTGAGCGGATGATCAAAGGTGATTGATGCTTCTTCGATTTTACATAAGCCTTCTTTGACGTTGAATGGATACACAGATAGGATAGTGAATAATCCTTATGGGGAGGAATGGAATATTTGATCGACAATTTCATCCTCAGTTAAGTATTCTTCAGGGATGAGACCTATAATTTGGTTTTGGAAACCAAATGTATAGTACTCAGCATCCAATGCTAGACCTAATGTTCCTTTTGGTAAAGTAACACTTTTGGGTGTAATATTGTTGACCATTATATAGGTGGGATTCTTACCAATACTTACCATTGGTGTATGGGTTACCACCATCCCTGATTGTTGTATCCTGTTGGATAAACAGATTAGGGCATCAGAGTTTTCCAATCTCTGACCCTTCTTGACCTGTAGGGGTAAAAGAAAGTTACTTGTCCGTTGTGGAATGGTTATGTCATCAGGTACTTGGATACTTACCGCATATGGGAGTATTTGTCCTGATTTCAGGGCGTTTTCCTCGTTTAGGTATCCACAAGGATCTTTTAACCTTGTCCACAAGTTGGAATTAATCAGGTCAAGGTGTATGGCAAAGCGATGTATTACATCATTGCCAATGTAAACCTGTGTCAGGGTTTCTCTGCTGTTTTAAACAGCCACCCTTCCTTTTTCAGTGTCTGAGGTTTCAGCTGTAATTAACGATCAGCTCCTTCAGCATGTTGCCACGGTTACTCACCTGAGAATAGTAATCAACCCTGCTGCTAATCAGTTCAGCCTATTTAAGCAGCAAATCCCAGAACCTCCTTGCCCTTGCGTGGTTTCCTGTCCCCCAGAAGTCTCCTTGTTCCTGTGTTTCCTGTTTGCTCCTGGTTCCTGACTCTGGCCTTGTTCCTGACTCCGCTGCCCTCCGTTCTCCTGATCCTGGCTCGTCTGACTACCCGCTCTGGTGACTGACCCCTGCTTGCCTCCTGGACTTTGCTTTTGGTTATTTCTTTGTTATTTATTAACTAAAGGTGTTTTTGCATCTAGATCTGTCTCTGTCTGGTTCCTGACAACCTGATAGCGAGGTTCGTCTATCACTAGGAATAAATGTTTAACTGTCTTATTTCCAATGGAAATAGATAGTAAACATTTTGCTATCACATTGTGACTCTCTGATTCGCCATCCAGATTCTGGATCCACCTGTCATGTGGGGAAGCGTACCTGATCATTTTAGGATTAGCGATCTGCTTTAACAGACTTCTGCTAATATAGCTGTTCTCACTCTTTAAGTCCAGCTTTGCATTCCTACTTCTTCCTAAGTCATTTATTTGAATAGGAAAGAATAAGTTATTAACCCTTTCAATTCTGGCAAGGAATTGAGCATGACCTGTCAGATATACAGATTCAACATAGTCCCTGTGGAGAGAATGGTTAAAACATCACCTTCCAGAGAGACATTCTGGATCCTCTGGAGCAATTCTTACGGAATGCTCATCTACAGGTGCGATTGCATCATTCACCTGCAGGATAGTCACGTCAGGCGACTGACTATTCCTAAAATGTACCTCAATCGAGTCAGGTCTTTCTTCTATCACATGGCAGTTACATTCAGATTGAACATGTGATTTCTCATAGGTTATAGGAACCTTAGCTTGTGACCATACAATTCCATTTACACCGTCAATAATTGTGTTAAAAGTCTTCTGAGTATGTCTATACCCAGAATCAGTCGGTCATAGGGGAGATCTACCACTATCACCGGGTGTCTAAAAGGTTTTGTTACCTATTTTACATTTTAACCAGGTATTGCCAATAACATGAAGGGCATTTCCTCCTACACTCAGAGTATTGGGGAAATCTCTTAGCTTCGGCTTATCCGTTGCTAAGTCCATTACCTGCTGGAAGTAGGTATTGGATAAGATAGTGGCTTGTGAACCAGTATCTATTAACCCTTTGAAAGGCTGGGGTAGTGAATCCTGTATTTCTACATGTAGTACCTTCCTTCATGTTCTTCTAATTCACATAAGAAGTTAGAATGTGTCAACATATCACTTGTTTTTCATACGTTACTTGTCACAGCAGTAGTTTCTACCTATACTGAGGAATGCTCAGTCTTACCCACAGGCCCATCCTTCTTAGGAATATCTTGTACTGTTAAGTGGGAACTAGTGGTCGGCATCTCATCAGTTAACCCTTTCAGGTCTGGATCCTGGAAACTAGTGGCTGCTGGGGTTATTTTAGCCTTTGGCTGAAATGAAAAAAAAACAAAAGGAACACGTTGTGCCTCCTTCACCCAGAAGTGAAGTGACGGTATAGGCAATAGGTTTCCTAACACAACTATTGTTCGTTTAACTATTAGTACCTGGAAAGGAAACAGGGTTAGATATTACATCTACTGACAACCTAACCTGTTTAGTCACAGTGGCTATTATTGCTGTGGCACCTGTTTCTGCAGTTGCACAGGTGGCTCTGCAATTGGAGCTGTCCCTAAAAAAAAAAAAAAAAAAAGGATTTCTGGCAAAGACTTGGTTAATTTTTGTCATTTCCTCCAATAATTTGCCCATCTGGTCTGTCAATTGACCAACCTGACGACGCAAATTATTTCCCCCATTGCCATTTTGTCTTTGCCCATTAGAATTTGGCTGGGATGGCTGAGACTGTTGGGAGTTACTGGAAGCAGATTGGTTATTTCTGTTTCCATATCTCCTATTTCCCTGAGGATTCCTTCTCCATTGGGAATTGCCTTGGTTCTTATTAACCCAGGGGCATTTATTCCCATTGGAATTGGACTTTTCAGAGTTATTAGAGGAATTTGCAGAATTGCTTCTGGCATTTTCCTGTTTCTGAGGTTTTGGTGTTTTCAAAACCTCAGAATAGGTCCTCTTTTTCTGTTGGGTTTCTAAACCTAACTGAATTTTAATCTCTGACACCATTTTATCACCAGGTTTCTTAACCTTTGGCTGATTTTCGTCATGTGCATGGTGCATAGTATACAATTTCATGCACTGACTGACTAGCCATTCTAATGGTAATTTACAATCATAAGCTCTCGCGAGATTCATTTGTATGTTTACCGGCATAGCATGAAAATATAGATCTTTGAAGTCTGTACTTTCATACCTGGGTTTCCTTTGGGCCACGGAATATGCATTTTTAAGAATTATTAAAAATTCTCTGGGGCTTTGATCTGGATGGCACGGTAAGTTATAAAGAGCTTTCTTAGCAGAAGCAATGGTTTTATACTTGCCATATTCCATGATTATTTCATATTTCATCTTGGACCAGGACATTAGCTGTATAGCTTTAAGACTTTCTAGATAAACACGGCACATTGAATCAAAAGGTCCATGTAATAAACCATTTCTTTTGGATTCCATCATACATGCCCAATGAATTCATGGTTCTTTCATAATTTTCCAGATGTTCAGAAAATTGTGGGACTGTCTTTTTGAGGAATATAATAACCTTTGGCGTTTCATAAACAGGCATATTTGATATTTTAATCCTGTTTCTATCTTCCCTTCTTTTTGGTAAACGTTTATGCGATCTGGCTGCTGAAGAGCAATTAGATCCGTACAATAGTGCAGATGGCATATCAGTCACATGGCCTTCAGAGTGGACAGTGCAATCACTTTCACTCCCATCACTCTGAGCTTCTCGTTCACTGTCACAATTCTGATCAGCATCAGAGTTCTGGCAGTGCACAGAACCATGTCTGTTTTCATTCCTACCACCTTGAACTGGACTCTCCCTCTTAAGCTTGGCCCAGACTGTCTTTTCAAACTGTTCTGCCCAAGATTGCCAGGATTGTTTTGCAATATCATGAGATGGGGAATCTTGTTCCACAGGTGATTTCTCTGAATTACTCACATCTTTTCATTGAGACTGTTTTAGGGAAACCTGGTCTGATCTGCGAATATAAGGGAATTGAGAAGAATCGCCTGGGTCTTTTCCCCATTGGTTTTTCACTTTCCTGATATTCATCTAACTGTATCTGTTTTATCTACTGTTCATAATCATCCATCATTTTTCTCATTCCTTCCAGTCTATTTGAAAGGTCAGAGTTTTTAGCCTGAAGGATATTATTTTCATCAGACAAAGTGTTGAATCTTCTTTGTTCGAGCACCAGGTCTTTCTGACACTCGTCCAATTTAAGTTCTCTCT